AATTAAAATCCTTATATTTTAAGGTATTAAAAAACCAAGGATTTAATTTTGTTTTAATAAAATGCGTCTAAAATTTTATTATTTAAAAATAAAACATAAATAATAATTATATTCAAATATTTTTAAAATATATTTTCTCAAAGTTATTTGCTTTATTATATAATAAAGTATTAATTAAAATACTGAAAATAAAAATTACTGTCATTTTTTTTTAATTTAAAAATGCTGATTGTACTTCGTATTTTTTTTTTATTTAATGAATATTTTAAGTTGTAATTTTTAAAATTATAATATAAATTTCGTTATTAAGCTTTCATTTTTTTGTGAAAATTCCGTATCATTTGCATTATCAAGATTTACAAAAAGAAAAAAAGAAAAAAGGAGAGAGAGAGAAAATTTCATAAACGTGAATTATGGTATTTTATAATAAATTAATGTTAAAAAATCACTATAAATATTTAAATTTTAGTAATAATATTAAGTAAATCGAGGAAAAACTTAATATAACTTTCAAAATGATATTCATAAATTTTCGACTTGAGTACCTCAGAATAATGGATGTGTGTCATAGAAGCAGAAAAATTGAATTCGGGATAAAATCTGCTCAACATGATTCATTCTATTGAGTTTTGTATGAAGCTATATAAATGCTTTCATTTGATGAAAATATTTCTTTAAAAAATAAATAAATAAAAATAATAAATTTCCTAAACTTTCTGTATATATTCAACACGAAGCATTATCTATAGAAAATATTATAATGAGTTTTTTAAATAAAATAATGCTTTAATAATTACTTTAAATGTTTAAAAACTTTATTTTTAAACGAAAAATTTAGTGTTTTTTTTATAAATGTTTTAAAACTTATAATTCGTTCAATTTATATGCAACTGATATACGCAAGTAAGCAATAATAACAAGATGAAAGAATTTAGAGAAAAGTAAAAGTTACTTTATATAACTAATCAATAAAATATTAGCACATAAATGAGTGAAAGTAAAGAAAATTTACTCGTTAATTATGTTTAAAATAATAAATTCGATCTAGTAATGCAGTGGCTTAGATAGCTGTTGCATAAGGGGCTAAAGCTCTAAGGGGATCTTAGACATTCTGCTGAACTAGATATACAGTACATATTTAAACTTTAAATTAAAAAATAAAATAGAAACTAATTGTAAATTTTTGCCTCTATATAAATATATATATGATACACTTAGGGGGGCACTTGAAACTACCAAAACAATGCTATGCCACTGTTATAAATTTTGAATTTTTTTGCTTTTCAATTCTTTTCTCTTTTTGGAGGGTTGTCGTTCTTGAGCCTCTATGCGAAACATTTTGTGGGGGCCCAGAAAATTTTTCGCATAGGGGCCCAAGAATTCTAGTTATGCATCTGATTATATTTACTAGTGCAAACATTCATCAAATATCTAGACAATTACTTCTATATAAGCACTAAATTAAAGTTCTTTTTACTGTATTTTAATTAATTTGCATGTTTTGTACAATTAATTTAATACTTATATGCGAAATTTTTATATTTAATTAAGTAAAATAAAAGTATTGTAGAGTGTTATCATCCAACTCGATGCCATCTTATCATCTTTATATTAAATTTAAGAAATGTCCAAACGGAACGGGGTTTGTTTGTGTTTCAAATTGGATGGTTGCAATCACTGTGAAATATTTTTAGTCAGAAAAACAATTTTTTAACTCTAAATAAATTTAAATAAAGTTGCAGGAAGATTTCATTATTTTCTAACTAAAAATCACTCAGAAATTTATTCAAAATGTAAATTCCATAAATTTGAATATATTTTTTAATAAAGTTTTTCATACATAATTAAAAAAAAAGCATGCAAAATAAAATTTTTTATTTAAAATTCTAGAATTAATTCCAATAATATATTNTGGAAAATCTAGATTTGTAATTAATTGAAGACGAGTGAAAGTTACTTAACAGATGTGTAAAAGTTAATCTAAATTTAAAATTGTTAAAATTAATCATGTTTTATTTATTCTTGACAACAGTTTTAATGCTTCTTTCCATTTATCATTTATTCTTGAAATGGAAAATGTCTTTCGCATTTATCAAATAATGAAAACCTGCAAAATGAAACTACTTATATAAAAATTAATGTAAAATATTTGTTCGCTTGTTATTAAATGCATTTGATTAATGTATCTACGGACATTTTCGTATGCATAAAAATTAACGTCATTTAAGAAATAAACTAATTAAATCTTATTTTTACTAAAGTTTTATAATTTATTAATCATATGAAGACTTTATTGATCTTAATAAACTTAAGAGAAGGTGAAAATTTTAGGTCAAAGAAGACACTGGTCTGAAGAAATAAACGCAATGTTTATTAATAGATGTGTTTTCCCAGAACACGCTGAGAAAGTTACGAGAAAAAATCCAATAATCTTCACTAGAGACAAAAATAATGATGGAAATGATAAATATGTACAGCACGTATAAAGCTATATTGCTGATGAAAATTTCATCTAAACATATACCATTTAAAAAAGAAATTATGTGATAAGTATAACAAAATGACATACCTAAAGTACTGTATTAGAATCATTTACTTTGAATGAGTAAACTATATTGAAAACTTCTACGCAAGATCACAATTGGAACAATTGTTATATCTTAATATAGTCTACTGAAGAAATCGCCCTCGAGCTGTCGAAAATGGTGTTGGTTCCATACGACAGAAAAAATAAACATGAAAAAAATATGGTAGTGAACGGTCTGTCATTTTTTTAGAAAGAAAGTAATTCGTGTCTTGTCATTTCCACATTTAGTGAACAACAAGTAGTCGATAGTTGTTTCCTATAAAGAAACTTCTCCTTTGTCATTATTTAGACATCCTATAAAAGAACATGTCTTAGTCGATTTATGCTTTCTTATACTTTCTTTTATTTATATTTATTAAGAATTACTGAAATAAACTACATTTTTTTAAATTTTACAACACTTTCTTCTTCATTTTTCCGTGAAATTTAATTTGATAATGGAATTTCCTATTATAAATTTATTATATATCCGAATTAGAGTCTTCTCTATTCTTGAAATTGTTGATTTCTGTGTAGAAGATATAACGATATATCGATGTTTTTAATCCATTTATGTTTGAATTTAGTAAAATTTACGAGATGGTTTTTTTGAAAAATATAAAGGAAATCTTAAATAGAAACAGAAGGCGGAAAAAGATGTAATATTGGATTATTCAAAAACCTAATATGTAGAAGATAAAGGATTCACTTTAGAATATGACTTTAGTATGTACCATTAATTGAATGCACATATTTAATATAAATGCATTCCTCTTACTGCCTTCATGCAAATGCTTTTGTCCTCATGGCAAATACATATTAACACGTCTGATGTCTTGTCTGCGTGTTCATCATAAGTGCATCTATTCAAGTTCCTGATTTATGTAGAGACTTTTGAATCATCGTGTAGGTTACTTTTAGTTCTATGGTCATTTAAATTTTTATTTTCTTATAGTTTTCATGTTATTATTCAACTGTAAATGCTAATTTTTAAGTTTTGTTTCAATTTGTTTATTTAATTTTATAATTTGGCAACACTTCGCTTATTCGTTGTTACGTATTTCCAACGTAACTTGTGTTCAAAATCCACGTTGCTCGTACTTTATATTTAGTGTTATATTTCATACTTTTAATTTTGAAAATTTATGTGTTCAATACTTATTGTTCATGTTCTTAGTTTTGATTATTCATACTCTTTGTGATCATTGTTCATAGTTTTGTTTCTTGCACTTCCTATTCCTGATGTTATACTGTATATTCTGTTAGCGTTTATAATATATAAGATAATTAAAACTTTGAGTGAAAATTTATTTTAATCAAAACAAAAACTTAGTAAAAATTCGAAAACAATTTTAGTAAATTTTGTTTTAAGGCATATCGAATGAAAATTGATTAATCCAGAGATTTCGTATTAAATAATATTCTCAAGATAGAATGTTATTCTTGATTTCTGAAGATTTCCCTAATTTTGAAATAAAAATTATAATATTTATATAAGAAACAAGTGAATAAGAAAAGGAATAGCGATTTAATTTTTCTTATTAATTTAAAACGAACTCAAATTGAATTAAATTTTAGAAAATGCAAAAAAAAAAATTAATCAATATAATCTTATTTAAAGTCTAACTTACAAACTTATTATATAATTATTTTTATGCGCTTTGTAATTTTTTAATGTAGTAAAAATCTATGTAAGACAAGAAAAAATAAATCAAAATTAAATATTCTATTATTTTTTGAAAAATATAAAGCTGTATTTAGTGAAGATTTTATTTTAAAAATAAATAATATTCCAAATGTATTTTTAATTACTTCTATCAATTTCATATTTATATATTTTATTATATTTATTTCTAGACTTACTGTCCAGGCAAGTTGTCCAATGCTTCTTAGAAAATATCCATTAGACACTCAATCCTGCCCTTTAGAGATAGGAAGTTGTAAGTTGTATAAAAAATTTTTTGTTATAAAAATATCATTATCATTAAGTAAAACTTAATTAATGTAAGTGATAACACTAATTGATAAGGAATCGTATCGTGTGTATTGCATAAATATTATTTATTTTTATATTAAATAAGCGAGTAACTTAACTGATTCATTAAATGATTCATTAAGAAGATAAATTTTGTAAATGCAGACAAAATAAAGCTACGAGTAGTACATTAGAGTAGAAGAAAATGCAATATCCGGTGTAACCTTCGATCGACAACTTCGTTGTCTGACGTGTACACCTAAGATTTGGTTATTTTGTCTGTCTAGTTGTGTTGCTATTTTTAGAAATCTCCTGATAGAAAATCTTCAAACAAAGCACCTGTAGGAGACACGGATTTGTTGCTTTGAAGGTCTTACTGATCGAAATGTTCGACTAAAATATTTGACGTATGCTATATTGTATAGTTTCTTTGAAAAATATTTTGAACCTGCTCTCATATTTTCAAATATATATATATATATCCTATAGCTTCGTGCAATTTATTTTTAAATGCAATATGAATGCATTCTTATATTTAATGCAAGCATTAAATTTTTATTAATTGAAGACATTCAAAGTTTTATATGTCTTATATAATTCATTTTAAATTTAAGAAATGAATTTCTCTTTTATGTAGGCCTATATATATTTAAAATTTTATAAAATGTAAAGTAATATTTTTCATTTAGAAATTTCTTTGAAAAATGTTTATTTTATGTGCTTGAAATATTCTTTCTTTCTTTTTTTTTCATTCGAAATGATGGAAAATCTAGATTTGTAATTAATTGAAGACGAGTGAAAGTTACTTAACAGATGTGTAAAAGTTAATCTAAATTTAAAATTGTTAAAATTAATCATGTTTTATTTATTCTTGACAACAGTTTTAATGCTTCTTTCCATTTATCATTTATTCTTGAAATGGAAAATGTCTTTCGCATTTATCAAATAATGAAAACCTGCAAAATGAAACTACTTATATAAAAATTAATGTAAAATATTTGTTCGCTTGTTATTAAATGCATTTGATTAATGTATCTACGGACATTTTCGTATGCATAAAAATTAACGTCATTTAAGAAATAAACTAATTAAATCTTATTTTTACTAAAGTTTTATAATTTATTAATCATATGAAGACTTTATTGATCTTAATAAACTTAAGAGAAGGTGAAAATTTTAGGTCAAAGAAGACACTGGTCTGAAGAAATAAACGCAATGTTTATTAATAGATGTGTTTTCCCAGAACACGCTGAGAAAGTTACGAGAAAAAATCCAATAATCTTCACTAGAGACAAAAATAATGATGGAAATGATAAATATGTACAGCACGTATAAAGCTATATTGCTGATGAAAATTTCATCTAAACATATACCATTTAAAAAAGAAATTATGTGATAAGTATAACAAAATGACATACCTAAAGTACTGTATTAGAATCATTTACTTTGAATGAGTAAACTATATTGAAAACTTCTACGCAAGATCACAATTGGAACAATTGTTATATCTTAATATAGTCCTATTGAAGAAATCGCCCTCGAGCTGTCGAAAATGGTTACATAATTCTAGAAGACCGAAGTAAAACTAAGAATTGCACGAATTCCACGAATGAGCAGCGTTTTGACAATGCTTTCATGCAGTCACGAAGAGGTAGATTGATCAAGATAGAGGATAAACTGAAGCACGAATAGTTTACACGATATCTGATACAAAATGGAAAATTTTGTGTCAAATTTAAAATTTTTACAATTATAACCACACAAACACGCAATACTCGCTATAAAACCGTACAAAGACTCGACTATTTATGTAACTTTTCCACATGAACGAGGGTAATCACAAATGACTTCAGTAAACCCTTTAAAGATAAGATCTACTGTTTCTTTCATTTGAAATATGTTGTCACTTGAAAAAAATGGAACTAATTTGTTGGTTTGCAAAATCTTTTATCTTACATTTTATCAAAAAATGAAAAAAATTATGGTTGCTTTTCATTGCTGTTTCACTTCTACAAAAATAAGCTTTCACAATAAAATTTTCTCAATTGTATCTAACAGTATCAAACATCTCCAGGCATTCAACATATTTTGCTAAGATCCACACGTAAAATACTCAACATATTTTGCGAGATGAATTTTTATTCATAAATATTTCAACATAATTATTAAACAACACAGTAATGCTGCAATGTTACTGTTGCAAAATTACTAGTTTCTCATTGAAATTCTGAAATTCTTTTGTACTGCATAACTTTCTTATTTAGTGTTACAATTTAGTGTTACAGTTTTGAATTGATTTACTGTTATATGAGACATTCCATTCCATTATATTTTCTATATATATATTTATATGGAATATATATATAAGCTATACATTAATGAATTTTATTGTACGCAATAAATTGATTATTAGAAATGAAAAAAATATTTAAAGAAAAACAAATGAAAATAAAATGGCTAAGTATGATTATTATAAGTAATATAATAAATTTGTATCATAATTTGTAATATTTAGAATATAAACCTACTTTATTTTCAATTCTGTTATTGTCGACTAAGTTTGAGTTTTACGTAATTAGCTTATTTGGAAATAAAATTTTAATTTTAAAGGTATAATTCTTTCTCTTTTATAGTTGCGTACCCACCATCTGATGTTACATATAAATGGAATAAAGGCGAACCCGTAATTATAGCCAAAGATGTCACTTTATCTCAATACGAATTCCTCAATATAACATTCGAAGAAATAACTAAACTTACAGGAGGAGGTAATTAATGTACGAAATAAGTTAAGTAAATTCTATACTGATACTACTTTATTGGTTAGGCATTAGATCGTCTCTAGTTACACGCTTTATTTTAAGAAGACGTCGAGGTTACTTCATTTTACAAATTTATGCACCTTGCGCGATGATAGTCGGAGCATCGTGGGTGTCGTTTTGGATCAATTCACAAGATGCTCCTGCCAGAGTTGCCGTTGGTGAGTATTTAAATCACCTAAAGTTTAGTTTAGAATAATAATTACTGAATTAATTTCAAATTTAGTTGAATTATTAGTAAAATTCTTCAATTAAAGAAGGATGGAGTCTCTAAATTATCAGATGAATTTTGATAAAGAAACTCAAGTTTTATAGATTACAGTCCAAGTTTCAACTAAATCTTTAATTAATTTTTCGCTTTTTGATTAATTAAGAGTTTCATATTGTTGGAATGAATCCAATTCAAGTGACGAAAGTATCATTTATTAACAATGTTTATCAATCATTCAGAGTTTGATCATTATGATTAACAAATAGATCTGTAATCAGATTAGTTACATAAGTTATGTAATTAATTACATAAAATTGTTCTCTTGTAGCAATTTCATTGCGTTGAAATGCGTTGAAAGAGGAAAAATTTTTACAATATTTTACCTTTCAATGCATTTTTTACCTCTTTCTAAAAATAGGAATTTTATAAAAATTTCAAAAAAGTGTAAATTTACATATGTAATGTTTCCTTAAAACCTTTCAGATTAGTTACTAACTATATAAGAAAGGCTTTATTCTTCCATCATTTTTTCCTCTTCATATTAAGATGTCCTATTCCATTCTTTTGTTGAAAATTTATCAGATTTTTTAAAGTAGTATTCAAAATATTATTATTCTTTTTAACAAGAGAATTTCTTGGCATAAAATTCCTCTATACAATATCACAATTAAACGAAAACAACCAAGTAATACGACTCTATATATATTTAAAATTTTATAAAATGTAAAGTAATATTTTTCATTTAGAAATTTCTTTGAAAAATGTTTATTTTATGTGCTTGAAATATTCTTTCTTTCTTTTTTTTTTCATTCGAAATGATGGAAAATCTAGATTTGTAATTAATTGAAGACGAGTGAAAGTTACTTAACAGATGTGTAAAAGTTAATCTAAATTTAAAATTGTTAAAATTAATCATGTTTTATTTATTCTTGACAACAGTTTTAATGCTTCTTTCCATTTATCATTTATTCTTGAAATGGAAAATGTCTTTCGCATTTATCAAATAATGAAAACCTGCAAAATGAAACTACTTATATAAAAATTAATGTAAAATATTTGTTCGCTTGTTATTAAATGCATTTGATTAATGTATCTACGGACATTTTCGTATGCATAAAAATTAACGTCATTTAAGAAATAAACTAATTAAATCTTATTTTTACTAAAGTTTTATAATTTATTAATCATATGAAGACTTTATTGATCTTAATAAACTTAAGAGAAGGTGAAAATTTTAGGTCAAAGAAGACACTGGTCTGAAGAAATAAACGCAATGTTTATTAATAGACGTGTTTTCCCAGNTGATTATGAAGCTTTACAATTATTAATTGTGTAAAATATAGGCCTATGTGTTTTTTCCAGGTGTAACTACTGTGTTAACATTAGTTGCAATGGGATTCGGAGGAATGACTTCTATTCAAAGAGCAACGTCTGGATCAGCTTTAGATTGGTTTGTTATTCTGTGTTTTACTTTTGTATTTGCCGCCATGGCCGAATATGCTTGTGTCAATTTGTTGGATCGATACGAAATCGAAAAGACAAAACCAAAAAAACGTATTCAACAAAACGTAAGAACATATTTTGATCTCTCTTCTATTCGTTCGTACTTACTTTAAGTGTCTTACATGTCTATAAATACATAAAATGCAACTTTTTTATAAATATTTATTACTAAAATATTTATCAGTAATATCAACTATTATTATTTGCTATTTGCTTTTATAGGGCCCATCAATAACCCTATTAAACTAAACTGATAGTTAATTCTGGGTTAGCTACTGAAGTATGGGCTGGTCGCGTATAGTTTTCCGGAATTTCTCACATGTCTAACACCTAAATAGGAACCAGTTTCCGATAGAAAGTCCTCCCAAGATACAACTCCATTTGAGGATTGCTTATATTTTATCGATCAAATCCAATCCATTTTAATAAAGATGAAAGTTTGAAGAAACTACGACCCCTTCGTTTTAGATATCTTAGATTTTTTGTATCTCTAGAAACTTTAAATTTCAAAGAGCAATTATTCAATTATTTATTGTGACATCGTCACAATGCCGCACTGCAGTTTTTAATCATTTTTATTTATTTAATTTAAAATATATGTTCTCCACTTCAAATTAATTGTGGCTTGACCCTGTACATCATAATTTTCCTATAACAGTAGAGTCGTGTCGATCATCTATCTAACAACTTTTAGGGTAAAATTTTTGAATTAAAATAACATGACTTCCTTTTGAATCGGAAGTTCGTGTATAGTTACTCGAGGCCTCCTGCCCCTAAGCTTTCCATATGTTGTCTCGACTTTCATCTATATAACTCCTTCTCGAGTTTAAGGAAAAAGAGATAGTGGGAATTTATAGGTCTACAATTTTTTCAAATTGCAGCCCAACTAGTAATTTAAGATTGTAACGTTAACATATAGTTAACTAGAAAAGGTTGAAACTCCAATATAAAATGCATTTTTAATACGTTTAGTACATACATTAATTATAGATTATAATGCATTATAACTTTAAATATTTTACACTTCGTTTAAAAATATAATGTAATAAAACGAAAATTGTTTTCTTTACTTTAAAAAAAAAAATAAATAATTTCTTAAATTGTATTTTAAAATCCAGCAGAATGAATGATTGTTTTTTTATTTTAATTTTTTTAGAGTGTACTCGTCACATGGAAAGCATTCACTATCATTTTACAGCTTCACCGAAGAATATAAAAAACGAGAATATTACAGAATGTACGAAATAAAATCACAGTTCAGAGATGCTTTTTAGATTTGGAATCTCTTTTTTGATGAGAAATTTTTTATTATTTCGTTTCTATAAGTGAATACCTAAGCATTTTTCTGGTATCTGACTTCACTATTTTATTGGTATGCAATTACAGGAAGTGTGGCACCAATATTAAATGTATTAAAGAATAAATTATTAATTATTTTTTTATCTCACATATTGTTTTGACAAGAAGATTATAATGTCGTTGTTGTATAGCATCGCATGTCGACGTTGTAACGTTCATTTATATTTATTGGCTAAAATATGAAAATGCTATAGACCTATAAATTCTCACTGTCATCCGTCTGTCCGTCTGTCTTTTCTTAATCTCGAGAAATGAATTAGATAGATAAAAGGAGAGACAAGATATAGACAGCTTTGGGGCAGGAGACTCCGATTACCTATATTATAACTTCTGATTTAAACTGGAAGTCACGTTATTTCAATTCAAAACTTTTCCCTTAAAAGATGTTCGATACATGATCGACATGACTCTATTGTTAAAAGAATAGTATGATGTACAGGGGCAAAGCTCTACTATTTTTAGGCGGTGAGCATATATTTTACATTAAATAAATAAAAAATATGATCAAAAATTGCAGCCTGGTATTGTAACAATGTCACGATAATTTTTTGCTCATTTAATACAAATATTTTTTTGAGATTTTCCTAATAATTATCATTAATAATTTTCAATTTGATTATTGTAATTATTAACTAATTAATTAAGATATCATTAAAGTTATCGTAAGTCTACAATAACGGATTTGTAGCTTATAGAATCCTGTACATTAATACCTTTCTTTATTGATTCTATTTTTGGAAGGTGATAATTGAAGTATAGTCTAAACAATTGTCTCAGAAAGAACTTTTTTTGTATACTGTAGTTTTTTCGAGTATTATTCATTACCATAAATGAATTGGTGATTTGATTAATCAAATATTCAATTAAATTATTAAATAAAATTAAAAATTATTTTAAACGTGTTTAAAATAAGAAATAAGTTTGACCAGAAACACTATTGATTGCTTCTAAAATCAGTTGTTAAAATATAAATCAATAGAAATGCAAACATTTTTCGAATTTTTTATTATCTAAGAAGTATATAAAAATATTTAGTTACAAAAATTATTTATTTTCGCTTTGAAAAATAAATGAAATTTGTTTACTTTCAGTAAATTTTTTTCTCCTGTTTTTTAATTATTTATCTTTATTTTATTTTATTTTTTAGAGAAGAGAAATTATCGAAAACAGATAATTTTCTTGTTTATCAAATTTTTAATTATTGTCATAAATAATATTTAATGTTTTATTAATTTATATTTATGGTAGATTTTTCTTTTTTAATATCTAAATCTAATTTTTTATCTATTATAGTAAATGTTTACATCCAAACACAATTGTCGAAAAAAATTCTCGCGTATAATAGAATTAATTTTAATTAATTATATATTTTTTATATCGAAATTTTTAAGTGTTGTCTCATTAAATATTCGAAATGATGATGAAGTGATTTTTTTTCTATATTTTTAACTTAATATGTCGTTGTGTATTAATTATAAAAAAATTATTTTTTACTCAAATAATTTTGGCAATTTTTTAATTTATTTTTTAAGCGAATTTTTATACATAAATTTATACGCGAATTTAATCACGCTAGGAGTAAATGTTGCTTCTTTGAACTTGCTTATTTTTAAAAATTTATAAGGGAAAAAAATCTAAATTTATATAAGAAAGATTTTATAATGCATAAAACTTTTAAATTATTTATAAAAGTCCATATCATAATTATATTATTTAAATATAACTATGAATCTAAACTTTAAGAGTGCAGTTCCTTGAATTAAATTTAGAGAAGATAAAAATTAAATTACAGCATATTAAATTATGGTCGATATTTTACTAAATATGGTATGAATCAAAAGTCTTCATACAAAACAGTTGTGATGCGTGTTTCTCACATGTGTTAACATTCGCTTGCCACGAGTGAAGTAATGCATTTACACGTGCACTCACTTAAATGATACCCGTATAGATCAAAATCTATGACTTATAAGTGACTGCGTAATAAAATTTGTTTTTTCCTACGTACACACGTGTCCAAGACTTAAGGACGACGCAATTGCTAGCAGTTATAGTTGGAAAAAGTCAGTGTTGTGAGTCAGTGGTGCGTTATCTGGGGCTCCCACCAACATGGGACCCCAAACCGATCTTTTATAAACTCCTTTCTGTAGTAAGAATATCGAAATTTAAATAGGCATTAGGATTGTATGCGGTGGTGCAGAACTTAATTTAAAACCTCCATAGGTCACGTAAAATATAAATTTTCCAAAGGAAAAAATGTCTGAAGTCAACACTGTACCTGAGGTTCGGTAATTCAAACATGTCTGGGCTCCATAAAGCTATAACGTGCCACTGTTGTGAGTGCTGTATAGCAGTTCGAGGTGGACCTATTCCATACTGACAGGTCGCTCGACGCGAATGTTGGTGAGCATTTTCCATCCATTCTTCGTCTCTATCTAGCTGCTATGTATCTTTTTCACTAAAGACTTACTGTTATTGCTTTGATTTGTAAAATCCTACAATATGTTGTGTATTATTATCTTGTCATATTTGGATGCATTCATCAACAATTCTCTGCATTCATGTACAAATGTTGTCCGTCCTTAAGTTTTGGATAATTTTATATATATACATACCTAGGCAGAGAGATACTTAAATACTTTTAAATCACCCTGTAATAATTAAAATTGTAGACGATTACTTATAGAGTTAGTAAAGATATATCAATTTTTAACTTCATAATGCATTATGTCCTTAACTAATTTTCTTGATGTTCGATACATGATCGACATGACTCTATTGTTAAAGGAATAGTATGATGTACAGGTATAGTATTTGTTGAACTTTTCAACATTAATTTAACGATATCTTCATAACAGGAATCTCAATTAGGTATTGTATTTCAGAGACTAATAAATTCTGTTTAACAATCCATTCTAACCCAGTTCTTATTTTAACTAAATATAAAAACACCTTACCACTGGGTATTTAAATTTTCTTTACAAATATTTTTTGACTATTTATGAACCCTTGTCAGGTAAATTGTGGTAAAGGACAGCCAGGTCAGCCAAAGTCAGGTAAGTTATTTACCTGACTGTGGCTGACCTGGCTGTCCTTTACCACAATTATGGCCAATCAGGTAAACAATTTACCTGATGAGGGCTCATAAATAGAGCTGAAAAACGTTTTTAAAGAAAATTTAAATATCCCAGTGGTAAGGTGTTTTTACATTTAGTTAAGTTCTGTTTGTTAAATGTGTTGTTACAAATCATTGATTTATATACTTAAGAAAAGTCTCATAACTGTCGATAATTATTTATTAATAGCAATAAAATTATAACAAACAATGTGTACAACTTCCTGTTGTGAACTCTAAGGAAACTTCTGTTACTACTGTTTCTTACGGCTGTTACATTTTAATTTTTTCAGCACTGCATAGCAAAAATAACTAACTAAATAAGTGATAATAGGATTTTATTTTATTTGATAAATTTGAAATACCCTCTTCCAGAACACAAATGTGTTCACATTTCTGTTCTGGAAGAGGGTATTTCAAGTTTATCCAATAAATGTCCAATTTCTTTTAAAATTTATCTTGTGAGTTATAATCATTCCTACATGTACAATCATTCATAATATCGTTTAATTTGACCCTCATTGCTCTGCTTAATCTCCTTTTTTTTCTCTGACTTAAATATCTGACAAAGTGAAATATTGTATTGAGTAC